GCGCCCTCCCCGGCCAACCCGCGGCTGGCGTCGGTCGGGAACCGGGAGGAGGGGGGGAGGTTCCTTCACACTTTCCCAGGGGGAGGGAGGGGCGCTCACGGCCGGCACTCGATGCACGTGTGTTTGTATGAGCAAAGTAGATTGCTCCCGGGAAAGGGCCGCACGCGGACTCGTTGCCCCGGCCCGTTGCTCGCCGACAGGGGAGTCCCGTGGGTTTGGAGGAGCCAGCGACCCCTTCAGTGGGTCGCCGGGTGCCTGTGTGTCTGCCCCCCCCCCCCCCCCCCCGGCCACCCTCCCCCGATGGGAGGCCATCTCATTGCCCGTATGCCTGGTGCCGAGCGTCGGGCGGCGCCCAGGGGGACGAACTCCGGGGGCTGTCGTCGGTGTAAGATGGCCCCCCCTGTCTGAAAGCCACGGCTCGATCCCGGACTTGCGCCTTTCCCGTGGCTTCTTCTTCCTGCCATGATCTGTCTCATAATCAACACCCGTGTCTTGGCTCGTCAGCTGGCGTGGCACACCTCTTGCTGGATTCCACCGGCCCCCGGCCCCGGGAGGCCTCCTGGCAGTACTCCGGCACACGCCCACGCGAAAGCCCCCCCCCCCCCCCCCCCGTGCCTCGTTCCTGGCCCCAGCGGGGCACCAAAGAGCGGGCACCTTCCCGACCCAGGCCGTCGTCGATTCCCTCACTGTCCTCCCCGGCCCCCTCCCCCTTCTTTGCTCACCTATTACCGGGCAGCTACCTTCCCGGTCTTCTGATGATGGGCCAAAACACCTTGCCTGTCCCGGACCAAAAGCCGGCGCTGCTGTTGCCCCTGACGGCCGGCGCAGTTGGTGCTGGCTGCATCGCCGCCATCGGCATGCTCTCCACTTCGGCCGCGGCCGGGATCCTTGCGGTCATCGTCTGCGGCACCCTGTTCGTGGCCAACATCTACATCACCAATCGCAGGGTGCGACCTTGATCGTGTGGCTTTGCTTGTTCCTGCCCTCCCCCCGCTGCCGGCCTCGGTCGCTGCCCTGGATGTCTGCACCCGGCCATCGGTGTGGCTCACCAACTCACCTCCCCCCCCCCCCCCCTACCCGCCCTGTTCCCTGTCCCGAGCGCAGAAATTCCCAGCCATCCTCCAGCTGCCCTCGCGCCCCTGTTCCCTGCTTATGGGTCACATTGGCCTGGTCCCGAGGGACCCCAAAAAGCAGGAGGCCCATTTCACGGCTCTCTCCTGCCACCCCAACACCCCGGGGTATGGGCAGTTTTGGATTGGCCCCATCCCCGGGGTTGAGGTCTACTCGCCGAATGCCATCAAGGCCGTCATCGGTGGTGCGCGCGACGCGCCGAGTCCCCCACGCCCCCTTGTCCACTCGCCGCAGTGGTTGAAAGTACAGCCATGTTCTGACCGAGATCCCCTGGGGATGCCTCTTCTCTTGGCTCACACCCGGCGCGGTGCCAGCTTCGCAGATGGCCAACGCGGCGAAGTCCTTCTCGTACGACCTGCTGGCGAATTGGCTCGGGCCCGAGGGGATCCTGCTGAGCGATGGCGGACCCCGGTGGCAGCACTACCGGCATCTCCTGAGCCCGGTCTTCCAGCACCAGGAGGCCCTGCGCGGCCCCTTCTACGAGGTGATGCACGAGCAGGTGGGTGTGATGGCCGACCGGCTGCACGCCCTGCACCGAGGCAACGAGCAGGCCAGGCAGTC